CGATCACCGCGATTTATATAGCAAAAGGGGGCTAGGGTTTCTTTTTTTGTTGATTAGGATCTTTTTTCCTTGATTTCGGTTCATCCCTAGCTTTCTAAAAGAATCTTCTCATGATTTTTGGCTCTCAAATCTTGATTAGAAGGATATCTTTTCCATATTCAAAAAGTCCGCCTTTTTCTTTAAGTTGGCTACTATGCGTGATGTTTAGCCTTGCCTGAGGCTTATGTATTTGAGAACAGAACCTTCTGCTGTCTGCAGGATCAAAGCCTTGCCTGATGCCTGTTTCTAGGCTGATGGCTTGTTACACAAACTCTTCTCCTTTTCATGCTACTTTTCCTCATCTCATCCTTATTTCCTTCCCTGCAACAAAATATAAAAAACAGTTCAGATTAAATAGCATTCTATCAAGTTTGGTAGCTCAATAGTGGGCAATAAGTATGTCATTTTTATGCACTATCAAAATCGCCCAACTTATCTTGTGCTTGCCCCCAAGCACCACACAATACAGGTCTCTAACTATCAACCCATCTATTCCCAATTATTCTATCACAACTCGCATGTTACATCTTAATCCTCGAGTTGTAAAAATAACCATCAACTAGTAGTCTGCAGGATGAGTTTCAAGGAACTACACAAATGAATAACCACTTTGACTAATATTCAAATACAACATGAGAGAAAATTAAAAATTTTATCATATAAAAAGTTTTATTGAGAGGAACAGCCAATACGCAATAGAACATCTACCAAACTTGTCTAGAAATAAGAATTTCATGCAATTGGTTCATGCTAAAAACAGAAAATCTATTAGTGACTAATCTTTTTACTTGAAATGTTACTAATCTTTTGACGCAAGGACAAACATTTGTGATAAATATACCCGGTTAGTCAGTTAATATCGATTTTAAGTATTATGAGTGCATTTTATGTTCTATATCACTCATCAAATGTTAGTCAATTTGTTCTATTCATCCAAACCTTAGTTTTTTTTTTAATTCTAAACATGAATCATAAAATTCTAAGCACACAAATCTAGACAAATTGTAGTAGGGCTCTTGTAGTAGGGTTCTTTATAAATATTGACATTCACTTAAAAATGAGAGAAAATTAAATTTTTGAAAAGACAATCTATACACAAGTCATGCTTAAAATACACAATCAAATATAACTATTCAAGATGTGAAAAGATAAAAAACAAGCTGCAGTTCCTAGGAGATAATGATAAGTGAAATTCGATTTTTGAGATATCTCATTTAAACTCTTTAAAAATAATAAAGATAGTTATGCAAATTGGAGCAAAAAATTATTTGAGGTGCATGTGTGGTGTGGCAAAAATTAAGCAAGGTTTAAATACCTAAAATGAAATGCTAAAAAGAAAAAACTAGCTACCTAAGATGCCGAATGACGAATGCCTCTTCTCCACATTTAAACTACACATTGTCTCCAATGTGATACAAATAATGAAAAATAAAAATGAAGTGATAGATTAACTCCCCTCGTTACTTGACTTGGAGGTGGGGTGCACTAAGAAGCATCATCTGGACTTGAGGCAAGGGGCAACCTTCGTAGCTTGAGCTACTGACTTGGGTTAATTCCTCTTGTGCGACCTGTGGTTCGGCTTTCGCTAGAGGCGATCGTGTTTGTTCTTCTGCCTTGCCAGCAGGTCGCAGCCGTCTGTTTTTGGATCGGCCATGCTTGGGGAAAACTCTCTTCTCTCTCATTTGGTTTGTTTTGTGGTGTTTTGGAGTGGAGGAGATTTAGTTTGGTGGAGATTGTAAGCAGGGAGAGGGAAATGTGAAGTCAAATTGATAGGAGAGAGAAGTGGGTGTCGGTGTTAAACGAATAGGATAATGTGGGCAACTTGGTCATTTGTGGTGTTAGGGCAAAATAAATAGAATAGGTGCTAAGTGGTCGCGGCATAAGCCTTGGGAAAGGCTTATACAAACATCCAAGATTAAAACCCATAAATTCTACGTGTGCCTCCTCCATTAAAAAGTTATTATAAGTGATTAGAAAAACTTCTAGTTAAGAAATTTAAAAAAGAAGACAATAGAAAAAAATGAGAAATAAAGAAAGAAAATGAAATAAAAATTAAAAAATCTTGGTAATAAAGGAAAAGAAAGCCAAATGGGTTGTCTTCCATTAAGCGCCCTTGTTTAACGTTCTAGGTTATACATTATCAGATCTTAAACACTCTAATTAGCATAGCTTCTTTTAGACTACTTGACTCAATAGAACTTATCATCGGAACATATTTCAAATGTTAGAGCGGCGATTTAAGCTTTATTTTTATTGCCTGCAAAACAAAATGTAGATGTTTTGTGTTAGAAATAGTAAGGTCAACACGTGATGCATTGCTCCTGACGCGGGAAGGTATGGAGAGAATCGAATCAACTCCTCAAACCCACTCAACATATGCAATACCAAAACTATAACCACCTAGAATTAAATATTCCCCTCTAATTGAATTTACAATCCTAAAAGGAATATAAAAACAAATACTAAGGAAAATAAACAAGGAAAGAAAAAACGTCACGTACTTACCATAAGTTGATCTCCGTTCCTTAGCTTATTAAAACTTCTGAAGGCTCCTGCTTTCCAAAGAACTTGAAAAAACTAATTTTAACAAAAATACTAAAAGAAGAAAAACCAAAACTCTTAAGAATTCTCTCAAATTTATTCTCAAGTGTTTTTACATCTTATGGGCAAAAGTCTATTTATAGTTTTTTCCGTACAATCTAGATGAGTACAAAATCTTAAGATAATTTAATAAAATAATATTTTAGATAAAATTCTATCTTAATATAAAATAAATACATAATAAAATAATTATTATATTTCAAATAAATTAATTAAATAATCCTAAAAGATACAATAAAATATTAATTAAAATAAATTCATAAAAAACACATGTGAAAATTAATTTTAAAATATGGGTAATTTGAAAAGCGGGTCCTAAAATTTCAAAAATAATAAAAAAATAATTTAATTATTTTTTAAAAAAAGGGTAAAAGTGGGCCAGCTGGGTTTGGGCTACCCCAATGGGCCAGGCTAGCCAGTTCGTGCGGGTTGCGCAAGAAAAGGCCCACGGGAGTCGCGGGCTGGTGGGCTTGGGCCGTCCACGGGCCCATTCACGTGGGGTGCAGGCGTTTGATCCCTTGGCCCTGCGCGCGCGGTCGGTTCCACGCAGGTCTAGACGTGTGCATGGGCGCTCCCAGGTGCTCATGCGTGCATTTCGTGCGAACACGCGTGCATGTTCGTGGGTTGTGCGGGCTGAGCTACATGTCCAGCGCACATGTGGGCATCCTTGCTTGCATGTGGGCCTCCAGGTCTCTGCATTGAGAAAGTTGATTGTCTCCAATTTTTTTGCGGAGTATAAGGTCGCCTTGACTTCTTCACCACTGGACTGGGGAACACTTGTGGATGTGTGG